CACACACAGACACTCACCAGGTAGTATAGTAAAAATGACTAGTAGCAAGTAGCATGGCCTCTTATACTTGCACATGTTACTAGGTCCAGCTTATGTGCCATATTAAGATCTACCTACGCGTCACTTCGAGTGAATTTCAGGGCTGCTTCAACGCGATAAGAACTGTCAAATAACTCAGCGGGGGAAATGGAGAGCCCGTTGCAGTTGGGAGCTTCTCTGGCTCGGGTGTAACTAAATTACTGCACGCCGTCGCGTAAACAGCTCACTAACGACACACGACTTCACTGAATGACTTTTGTTACAATACACAAGGGATGGATAGAGATGTACACGCCGACACAGCTTACAACTCTCCGCCAGTCAACACTTAGAGATGAGACACATACTGGTGTTAGCAGGCGCGTGAGCTTAACAATGGTAATGGGACGCCAAAGACTCGCATAATGTGCATCTGTTTTTACTAGTTTTGATTTTATTCGCGCGACTGCTGTTGCCTGGGTGGTGGTGCCTCGAGTGCATTGAGGCTAGCGAGCCGGAAGACATTAATGCGCATGGAAACATGCTAAGATAATAGGAAAGGACAGGACAACTCGATAACATATTATGTGGGTTAATAACACACTATGTTGTGTAATTTTTAAAGTTAGATGCAATTTTTCTGCAACTTCTAGCAGTTAAAACACCGGAGCCGCACTTTCTGGCGTAACCACTTCAAAGCACGGTTCTGGTCATAGTCTCCAAGGGAAAACCCGCAGCGACAGAAGCATTGGGACCAGGCCATTCTTCGGTCAATTATAGATTTCCAGGAGGTTTGTTTGGATGTGTCAAGTGTCGTTGGAGAAAAATAGTTTCTAGCACACTAGATTACCGGCCCAGAATAAGTTCTGTTCAAAAATCGTTGTGAAATTAGGCTATGGCTTTGTATAATAGATATAAGGTAAGTAGGCCACGTCAGATTGTGCCATATATGATATAAGGTCGCTCTAAAGTCTTAAGCCAATATGCAAACGCGAATTGAATCAGAAAGTCTAATTAAAGAACCTAATGCACGGAGGAATTAGACTGGTTGGTTAGATAGGATTCAGCTAGGTGCGCTGACATCATTCCATTCTTTGTCACAATTCCACTGGGATGATACTAACCAGGTCAGATGCGTCTGATCGCAGAGAGTGAGCTCCACTTAATTATCTTTATTCAAAAACGTGCTTATAACATGATCCAATACTTAATTTTAAACACCACAGAATAGAAAGGTATGTATGAACAATGAATGTATTAAAACTTGGAGTCATACGTTTAAATAGATGTATAATTTTATTTCCCTTTTTTCTTTACTTTATTAGGCTTACATCACAGTAGCACTTCCGACAATGGTAAATTTTTGTCGGATTTTTTCTAACCAATAGCTGACGGATTTGAGTCGCACAAAATTATTATAAACCTCAACACCAATAAGAATCAGAAACGGTGTAGGACAAGGGTTCACATATACTTCGTGAGAGAAACAAGTCATGTGGGTCTTAAAGTATAGTCATACTGTTAGTCAACAACGGAAAAAGATTTCCTGTTATGTGCTCTATTAGTACTGGCACTGCACATTCACTAGTCTGTTAATCACCTTGCGGATCCTACACGACGGTTATCACTACTTAAACTTGTCTTATTAAACGGATTTATGTGAGCTCACAAGGATTCTGGAAAATACAAATGAGCTTACTGTTTGGTACACTCGCAGAAGTAATGTTACATTAATTCGCAACACTGCCATCTTAATAGCGATTGTCTGAATTAATGTCTCAGATCCAAGCATCTGCTTATGTGATGTTGTTCTGTGTGGTATGTTTTTCTTTTTACAGTGCATTATCTGATGATCAGGGAAACTCGTGACAGTTTGTGGTTCTTACGATTACTAAATAATTTCATAAGTCCCGCATGGATAGAGATAAAATTCAGGTTACATTGGTTATGCACGGGACTGAATGGGTTTACATCAATAACGCAGTCCTGTGTCACTGCTTCATGACTTTTGTGGCAACGCTTGGCCAGGTATGGCAGTAGGGCACGATTGGCCCTTTGTGTTTCCTCGGATTGGAATTGAACTCGATTTAGTCTTTCCGGTGTCCAGCTCGTCGACTTGATCGCTGTTCTCCTGCGCCGAGACTGCGTTGCAATGCGATGTGTTTACAGTCGACTTAAAGTCAGGCAAACCCACTCAGGCTTTGAATCAACCAAAGGTGGGTCTAATCAATTTACATAGAGCCCTGCTGACCACCCGCCTAATAGCGCAAAGAGTACACTACCCGAGCACTGTTCAACTTTAGGATTTTATTATATTGAGAAGAGGTCGCATTTATTCTGTTCAAATGCTGGCTTAGGCAATCATTGGACGTATTAACTGACATGTATATGAATACAGGTCCGGGGTACTCTAAGTAAACCAGTCAGGCATGGCAATTTTATGGACTGTATGTTAATTATATTATATTAGCTCATATTTCAACTAGAGACCTTCTAAAATGATCGCCTTAATCCTCTATGAAAGTTTTCACACACCATAATTAGATGGAATAGATCAGTCTGAAATATACAAAGTGTTAGAGTGATTTTGCACTGGCTGAGCCTACAGTATGTTAACAGTTATGGTACACAACAATAACCCATCAGGCTAATATGGATCTTCATAGTCTAATATTAGCTGCACACGTGAAGACAGTGCTTCTAGACCTCTCGTAGTCACATTCTCTTGGTATCAAGTGAGAGATGAGTCCGCCATATGTAGGTTTCGCCGTGTCTCTAACAAAGCACTTGTAACTAGCGCTTCGTATAAGAGCTCTGCTAAGCTTATGATCCATATCATTATTCTTGTCTCATGAGAGACAGAGGAAGGAACAAAAGGAACAAAAGGGAAAGGAAAGTTTGAAAACTTCTAACAAACATAAAGTACAATTAAAATACAATGGTTAAAGGCTATTTAAACACTTTTGCAATAAAAGAAAAAAATCAGTTCTGAATTGTCAGGTGTAGCAATATACAAGGTTTTTCTTGTGGAGACACAGGAACATGAGATGGCAGGATGGCAAACGGCAATTTGGAAAGGAGTCTAAGAGAAGTGTGGGGACCACCAACACACCCCCACCTTCCTTTGTCCTCGATCCCAACAGACCCCTCCCTTTTCTGGGCAGCAGGTTGTCAGTGAGGCGGTCCAGCTGGTGGAGACTAGAGATGCCAAACAACCTGTCAGAGATAAGAAGAGGTGGACAAGGTATGTGCAGCTCCCAGACTGCTCTGGAGGTTTGGCTGCTGAGAAGAAGAGTAACAGACACTGGGGTCCATTATGCTTGATAAGACAGCATAGTAAACACTCTTACACTTTAAACAACTCTCTCCAACACTGTTGAATGAGCTTACACTTGTTATCAGATCTTTCAAATTCATACATGCCTCAAAATAGATAAACTGCCCTCCACTTAAAAGAGTTTCCACTCCAGAGGTGCCGAACATACTTTAAATAACCCGCCGGGAATGTTAATCGTTTGTCCTTGCTGTGTTTGCTCCCTAGTCACAAAGAAGAATGCTACAACCAAAGGACTTTCTCTCTAAAATTTATTCAATTTCTGTTTATAAATCCCTTTTTTGTAATTTCATAGAACAGAAAAGTTTGTTTATCACAAATATTTATCACCACTTGAAGATGGAGGGCAAAACTGGAAACAAACCCTCAAAGAGAAACAATGATCTCCGAACAATACCATCTTATTTCACAAACAACAAATTATTCTTTACAAATCTAGAGTAATAAATACTATTGGCAGGAACAGGGCTAAAAAAACAAACTAAAAAGAACAATCAATTCTTATTTCAACGTCACGCACACACCTTCTCACACACACACAAATCGAATAGATATCAAGGAATGATGAGGATCTTCTCTCTGAATGAATAATTTGTAATGTTAGAGCACCATATCACAAGTTACTGCATGTTAAAACACCTGGGCAGAGATATAAAAAAACAGACTGTTAACACATAAACCAGAGGCCTGTATCTATTCTTCACAAAAAGGGCCACACTTCTTGTTTGTTTCTTTTGTTTGCTTGTTTTTCACATTTAGCTACAAGGATGAAAGTGTCCCAAGGACTGCAGGGAAATGTGCGTACCTAACCAAATCTAGCAAGCAATGAAGTAAGGCTGTATGTATCACAGGAACTAATTCAGATTTAAAATGAAAAGACAACAGGAGTTGGTGTATCAACATTTACAGCTCTGTGTTTCTTTGTGATTGCTGAGCAATCCCCACGTGTCAAGGATCACCACTGGACTCATGAATAATTCACAAACAAACAAAAATGGGCCCAACGCACGCACGCATAACACGCGCTGCACTCCTGATCTGACTGGTCAGCTAAGGATAAAAGAAAGCCACGCACTCATTGGCGTGTTCCGAGTGAGCAGAGCAAGCTGATTGGTCAGGCTAGGGTGACTGAGAGGACAGCGGTGACAGCTGTGTGACGCTGAGTTGTGCATTTACCCAGAATGCAGTGGAAACAGTGTTTACAGGTCTTTGGGCCTGTAGCGCGGTCTAAACAAACTGTTTATCTCGATGGTGCAGTGCCTGCAGCTACCACTGCCTGTCTCATTGGAAATGAACTCATAGCATTCTTGAGCTGAGCTGACATAGGCTTTACATATACACAGGCTCACGCGTGCACACACTCACTCGGACAACTCATGCCTTTTCTCCTTCACCGAGACTGAGCATAGAGCTGCGCTTTGAACACTAAAGAGGAAAAATATCTCCCTTAGGCTCTGCTGTGAGAGCTCAGATTATTTTGGTCAGTAAATGTCACTGCCTGTCTGACAGTGGGTCACAATTTAAATCCTTCACAATACCAAAAAAAAAGTGGGAGTCACTGAGAGGAGAACAAGCCTAGTGCTCACAGCGCAAACATTTGAATCACACCAGTCTTTGAGTTACGAAAGAAACAAAACCATAGTGCTCACAGCGCAAACATTTGAATCACACCAGTCTTTGAGTTACGCAAAGACAACAAAACACAAACTTTAATTTTCACTTTGCAGTTAGAAGGAGCTTTTCTTTTGTGAACATCTGGAGCATCATTGTTGTCCAGGTCCTGTCCTCAACAATCTACTACTCCTTCCAGCAGAGGGGAGAAACATGACTAACAGATGAGACCGCTTCACACAGCACAAGATCACACTTTTCACAATTATATTACAAAATTAATATCATATTTAGTCCATATGTAGTGCAGCTTCTTTCAGAAGAGCGAAAAGAAGACTCTTTAAATTTGGGACTAGGAATCTCTGTCCACTCATCAGTCTTTAGATATATCCTCTGGTTTAGTTAGGAGGCTGCACTCCATTCTGGCACCCCACACCGGATGTGTGTGTGCGTCTCTAGTGTGTGGTAGAGAGGAGGAGACAGATTGGGCGTGTATCGGGGATATTCTCTGAGAGGAGAGCCGAGCTGCCTGCTGTGAATGTTTTGGGAGCTCTGAGATGGAGGTGCGGAGTTCCGTCTCTGGTAGGGATCGTTGGTGATGTGTTCTCCGAGTGGCGGAGAGGTCTGGTGGGCTATAGCGCTGAGTCGAGAGCCCTGAGGACTGGAGCTGTAGGGTGGATGAGGGGTGTAAGGCGGGTAGGGCTCCATTGGGGTCATGGCGGTCGGGATAGGGCAGGGGTATGACCAGGATGCACAGCTGAGTTCATCCATTCTGGACTCCGATCCAGCAAACATGCAGGCCTGACGCTGTCCCATGTCAGAGCTGTAAGGAGAGTCAGTGAGCCCCAGGGCTGGGTTGTTGGATAGACCGGGTGGAGGAGGGGGATAGGAGGAGGGGTGATAGTACGATTCCCCTTCACTTGGTGAACTACCAATGAAGGGTTTCTTGTATGAAAGCTGGTGGTTTTCCGAGGAGCAGTTTTCCTCCACTACAGAAAGACAGAGAAAAAAAATGCTGGTTTTCCATTTGAAGTTGAAGATAAATGAGAGCTGCGAGAGTTCCAGCTTTCAATTTATAACTTCCCATTTACTGCAGTTTAAGTAGCTGAGACACAAAAAAATGTACACATGAAGTTTCAAATTTCAAAGTAGGCCTGTCTATAACTCTTTTCAATACTTTCAAATTTTGGCAATGCTGTTTGTAGAAAAAAAAAACCTTGAAATAAACATCATAGCACCAGAACTGCACCCAGATCAATGGGGGATCTATGTAAAATGTTAAAGATAACAGAATGCCATCATTTGTGAATCGTTTAATCATTATATTTAATTACAAATAACACAATGCCAACATGTCAAATGCTGAAACTAAGAAATTTTATTTCATTCATTTTTTAATGCATGTTTTTGGATTTGATCCCATTTTAAGGCTGTAAGACTTGAAGTTTTTAGAAGTAAATATGAAGAGGGGTTCCCCGTTATGAATAAGACTTTAATTACAAAATAAGACTTCTGTTTCTTAATTAAGAAAAACTGCAAAAAATTTAGCTATTTCTTAATTAAGAAAAACTGCAAACAATTTAGCTAATTCATCATACACTGTACAAATAAAGGTAATAAAAGGTTCAGAGAAATCAGAGAAATCTCTGTAAATAAAAAACAAAGCCAAAGACCAATACTGAGCTTTGGTGCCCTAAAATAGACAACATTCTGCTGTAGAAAGGACTCCGTGGGCTCAGGAAGCCATCACCAGTGAACACATTTCACCACTAATGTCGCAATTTTAAACTTTCCCATGAAAAAAAGAAGAACACTTACAGTTCATAGACATTTATACGCAGGCCCTCCATGATGTGACATGTGTAACATCTGTAAAGACTCCATTAATGCCGAACAATAAATACAAGTTATTGAGCAACATATGCTGCCATTCAGGGAAGTACTGGCTTATTTCAGCAGTACAATAGCAAACAATGTCAAATGTTGCCAAGTGCGAGTCAGCTGGTAAACTGGCCTGCGTCCAGACCAGACCTATCACCTACTCCAAGACTTTGGTGCATTATGGAATAGAAAATACAACAATGCAGGGCAGTATAACATAATAAACGTGTCTTTTCTGAAACAAGTGGTTGCCATCACTTGCCAATGAGCACATGTTTTTTCAAAATCCCTCGAGGTTTTGCAGTTTCAACATTTTTCAATTAAATATAATAATAATAATAATAATAATAATAATAATAATAATAATAATAATAATAATAATAATAATAATAATAATAATAATAATATCACAGTCCTTGTCAAGCAGAGTGTAGAATAATAGTTAAATATAAACTTCACTACATCACCCACTGGTAGATGAACGTCTTTGTTGGTGGTTCGTTAAATGTACTAATTTACTAACTAATTACTAATTAGTTAGTAATTATCTATCTATTTATCTATATAAATATGTATATATATACATAGATATATTCTCATGAATTCTTTTGAAAACAAGCTGGAAAGTGGAAGGATGATGGTGCATCCTTGAATGTTCATTCAAAAAGACAAAACTTTATATTAAATAAAACTCTGTATTCCCTTTGTCTTTATCGTTATATGATTTATTTAAACCTGGTGTGAACACACGATTTCCTCTTACCTTTTCTCTTGGTGCAGTGGTACACCTGCTGCTGTTGGCCAGACTGCAGGTGTGGATGAGGCAGGGTGTAGTGCGTGGGTGGAGCACTCAGTAGCTCCTGAGGGCTGCTACCATTCAAGCCGTTCTCACAGCTATAAGGAGACCCAACAGCCTCGGGGGAGCCCCGCAAACCGCGACCCTCCCCACTGAAGGGACTCCCAGAAGAACAGGCTCTCTGACGGACAGTACTACGAGGGACCACTGGGTAATCCTTGCTGTAACAGAGAGGAAAACAAGATTACAGCATGGGGTAACAGTTTATCTCAGATGTTGTAACAAGCACAGGAAAGCAGCACAAGCCTTCTGTTCTAGAATGTGCAAATCTGTGCATGTATTATTATATTCTTATTATTAAATTCTGCTTGGTTGAATTCTTGTTTTTTGCCCCTTTTCCTTCAAGTCTATTTAGATATTCTCCATCCTTTCAGCTCTGATCTCTTTCTGTGCACACTGCCCTCTTGGTGAACTCAGTGATGTGCAGGAGACAGCGGGCCACATCGCCCTGACTCCCACTGAGACAGTAACACACACATACACACAGTGCTGTTGTGAGATAATTCAACGTTCTAAAAATAAACATTCATCCCTGTCACTTCACATAGAATCTCCTCTCCTCTCCAATAAAGCAGTGGTTCTGCATTTAATGCTGCTCTCCCACCCTCTGTCTCCCCCCTTGTCTTTCCTCAACCTCCCTTCAGTGACAGTCAATCCCATTGGCTTGCAAAAACCTCTAAACTGCCTGCCACAACACCACTCAAATGGAGATTAGTTCAGCACGCAACCCGACACAATATAGGCCTGTCAGCTGATCAGTGGTGACAGCCTAAATAGACCAGCAGCAACATGATATCATGGACTTATCAATGCAGCAAAGGAAATGATGCTGGGTGTGCATTTGTGTTTGTGCTGCATGTTCAGGGCGGGTTTTCAGGCTAAGATCAACCTTCAGGTGACAATGGCTGACATCTCTTTATACCACTTGGCTCCACTCACAGACACACTTGTGTCTTAGACCATATGTACCCCATCATAACAACCTCCCCCTCCCAGCTGACGGAGGTCGAGAAAGAAGAATAGCAATTGTGTCTTCTAAAAGCTCACAAGCACACAAACATCAACGAAGCTGTACTCACCCTTGTAACTTTGCCATGCGATGCAGCTCATTGTCGTCGCTGCCTCTGAATCCCTTAGCAAAAGGATTATTCTCTATCTTCAACTGTGTAATCTGAGGACAAAGCAGAGCAATATTTTACTTGCACAGGTCTGCAGGCCCAAAGGCATGCTCTGTTTTTTATTTTTTATTTTCCCATTGACTAAATGAATGGTTTACTATTATTCGGAGGACCTGCAAGTGTTAAAAGGAGGACTGCTGGAGCTCTGCATGGCCAACATTCCTCAGCTGCTTACGTTTCTAACGGAGCGAACAGTGTTCTCGCCAGCTGACACAGAATAAACTGTTTACCCAAACAGTCGCCAGGTTTAAGGATTTCAGGCCAAAGCTTTTAGAGGTCCAAAGCTTCGAGCTTTGATGTTAAAGCTTCAAACTTCTCCCAGTGATGTCATGGAGGTAAATCTTTGCGGTTTTTGAGGGATTTCATTTGGTCAAAGTCCAAGACCATCACACAAGAGGCGAGCCGGCTGAAGATCTGACACGAGCTCAGGTCCAAACAAACTTTGAAGTGCTGAAAATACTGATAACCCACTCCAAACTGCTGGCTAAAGAGCTCTGATTTCTATTTAGCACCACATTAGTGTCTTATATATTACTTATTTATACTGCTTGTGTTAAACTATAGCTACCATGTAACTATAAAGCTTTTTAGTATAATCTCATGTTAAACAAAAACGAATATGAAAAAAAATTAATACAATCTATAATAATAATAATAAATAATTAATATATAAAGATAAGTAAAGAATATATATATAATAGTAGAGTAAGACTGTATTTGTATGACTTTTCACTACACTTTTACACACACACACACACACACACACACACACACACACACACACACACACACTCCGACTTGGCCTCTTATCCTTGACAGCCCTTATGCTCATATTAAGATCTACTCCAGTGATTTCAGGGCTGTTTCAGCCATAAACTCTCATTTAGGGGGAAATTAGCTTGGCTTTGAGTCTTGTTACTATACCGTCCTTAACAGCATTACGCCATTCTTGTGGCTTTTAAATAACAACAAGGATGGATAGGACCATTCAAATAAACCTCCGCCATCCTACTTTGTTACACTACATGTAATGGCCAGGCATTCATTGTTTTACATTATTGTATTGCCATTGTGCTGTCCTCTTAGTGCCACACAGAGCTTACTGACTCTAATTAGTGACACTAACATATGTGGAAAAAATGGTTTAATGCGTCCGTCAACCTATTTTACAGTGATGTCTTTTCAATTTGTGAATACCAGAGGAAGCTGAACAGGGTTTGCTAATGATGTTGGAGTTTCTTGAAAGCCACTTAGGAAAAATCCTACAGGCTTAGATACGCCCAAACTTTCAAAACGTGGGAAATGGGCTGATCTGAGCTTGGGATTCCAGAGTAGCAGTTGTTTTGACTAGTGCCACGCTAGTCAGGACGGACTAAGCCTTGTCGCCCTTTACTGCCACAGAGACGGAGCACCGTCAGGCTCACAGAGACGAGCCATAATCAGCTTTACCAATTATGCTCCATCTCAGACCACTTATTCCACACAAAATGACATCACGAATGCTGGACATCACGCAAATGCCTCTCGGAGCTCCGCGAGCGACTCCAGTGCACATTTATATTTTCAAACAAATAGTGCAGACTGTAATGAAAAAAGCTTCAAATAAGTCTTTGGTGTCTTTTAAAAAAGCATTGCAACAGAAATCGCTGTGCACAGCTGGGCAGCAGCTTTAACATGCGTCCCAGCAGTCAGTAACTCTCATGGTTTAGTTGCTATACAAAAATGTAGCTCTGTAGGCCAAATAGGTGACATTTGAAAATGTCAGTCTTTTAACATGTGGTATCTTGATGTGTCTGTGTGTGTGTTGTTTACACTCTATGGCTGTTAGAAACGACTGTTGGATGAGCAGATTTGGATAAGCAGAAGAAAATTAGTACATGTAGAGGAGAGGGTTATAGCTCTGAGTGCCTGCGTGCGTGCGTGCGTGCGTGTGTGTGTGTGTGTGTGTGTGTGTGTGTGTGTGTGTG